ATACCTGGTTCTTTAACTGCACAGCTTTCTCTTTCAGTCTGAAAAACATGTTCACACTTTGGCTATGAAACCACTGATGCACCGTGTGATCTCTGTAACATTAGGTCTCCTCGGAGCATTGTATCAGCCAATCCTCCGGCATGGGTTTGCCTATTATGAGCTTTTTGCGTATAGACGTCTATGACAGTAACATTTCACTGTGCTGCATCATATTCATTGTTCTGATATTGTAAGTCAGGGGTGTCCAAACTTGGTCCTGGAGGGCCGGTGTCCTGCAAAGTTAAGCTCGAACTTCCTTCAACGCAGATACCTGGATGTTTCTAGTATACCTAGAAAGAGCTTGATTAGCTGGTTCAGGTGTGTTTAATTGGGGTTGGAAATATAATATGCTGGACACCGTGGAGGTAAAGCGAGTTTGCCCCTGTAAACAGCACCCCTTCTGTTCAAAACATGTATCGCGATTAATTCAACATTTCAAGCAGTTTTAATCGTCACATATTTAAATCGATTTTCAACCGACTCATGGTGAATCGTTACATCCCTAGCTCACGGCGACCTGAAGTTGATTCCCGGCTTAAGGTCCTTTGCCGACCCTTCCCCTCTCTTCTCCCAATACTTTCCTGTCTGTAACCTCCATTGTCCAATCCCTATAGAAAGGTGAGAAAACCCTCAAAATTAATTATTAAAATAAATAAATTTACAAAAAAACTATGCATAAAATAAAAATTTCTGCTGCTAACTGATTGTTTCGGCAATCAGTTTATTGATTACTGTTAACTGAGTGAAGGTAAAATGAACTGGTGTATAATGGAATGGTGTCAATGCACATTTTTATGGAGAAAAAAAGCCACCCAGGCCACTGTAGCAGCTGCCCACGTTGACCTTAAAGGGTATGAACTTTGACCTCTTCTTCTAGCAATTCCCACCCACTCCTCTCTCCTTATTTTCCTCTTACCAGCCGTCTGATGGCCCTCTTCCCATCATGCCTTGTGCCTGGCTCTCACATGTGGCTGCTGAGAGGGATGAGGTTTACTCTATTCTTCAGCTCTGGAGGAGAGGAGCGCTGCTTTAAGCGCAAACAGATGTGTTTTGAAAATAGAGGGAGGACAACTCTTTATGCAGATGCTTGATGGCATGGTAGTTATTCAGTATGTATATATGAGCTTATATCTGTGTTTTGATGCTCTTTTAAAAGCACATGCTGAGATTTAGACAGTCCCTGAGCTCCATATCCCATTAAGGAAAGGGAATTGTAAACGCTAACTTTGTGTGGTTGAAACCTGCTATTGTCCGCCGCCTGTGAGCCTGGGCTTCAGCCAAGCGAGACGTGGCTACAGAGGGAACTGAGCCCAGAATATGCAGCTTCCTGTAAGGCTTCTGCTGCAGAGGGCTGGGTGGGGCTGTGGGCGGAGCTGTGGGTGGGGCTTATTTCTAAATAGCCTGACAGATGCTAAATCTCAGAGCAAGTAACGTGACACATTTAAACCAGTAACCTTTGCTCTGTCCATTTTTCTCTTTCCCCCTCTGTTGTTTTTGCTTCCTCTCTGGCAGGTGCTTTGCATAGGGGCTTTCATCAAAGCTTTTGGATGTCTGGAGATTGAGTGGGGACTGAGATGGAAATGGAGAGAGACAAATGTTTGGGTGTAAATGGTTGTGCAAAGAATAGATTATATATTAGGTCACAATAAATGGATGAAGTTTGGATAATAAAGCATTTATTAACATACAAAAAAACTATTATTGTATTATTATATACACTCACTGGTCACTTTATTAGGTACACCTTACTAGTACGAAGTTGGACCCCCTTTTAAACTTCAGAAATGCCTTATGCCTTAAGGAACTGGAAATATTCATCAGACATTTTGGACTATACTGATTTGATAGCATCACACAGTAGCTGCAGATTTGTCAGCTGCACATCCATAATGCAAATAGTCTGTTCCACCACATCCCAAAGGTACTCTATTGGATTGAGATCTGGTGACTGTGGAGGCCATTTGAGTACAGTGAACTCATTGTCATATGCAGGAAGATGGTCTGACATTATCTGCGCTTTATGACATGGTTCCAATCTTCTGTTGTCCAATTTTCATGAGCCTGTGCGAATTGGAGCCTCTGTTTCCTTTAGTTCTTTGCTGGCAGGAGTGGCACTCGGTTTAGTCTTCTCCTGCTGTAGCCCATCTGCCTCAAGGTTCAATGTGTTCAGAGATGCTCTTCTGCATACCTTAGTTGAAATGAGTGATTATTTGAGTTACTGTTGCCTTTCTATCAGCTAAAACCAGTCTGGCCATTCTCCTCTGATTTGTGCCCACAGAACTGTCACTCACTGGATATTTTCTCTTTGTCTGATCTTTCTCTGTAAACCCTAGAGATGGTTGTGCATAAAAATCACAATAGATTAGCAGTTTCTGAAATACTCAGACCAGCCCATCTGGCACCAACAACCATGCCAAGTTAAAAGTCACTTAGATCACCTTTCTTTCCAATTCTGATGCTCGGTTTGAACTGCAGCAGATCGTCTTGACCATGTCTACATGCCTAAATGCACTGAGGTGCTGCCATCTGATTGGCTGATTAGAGATTTGCATTAACAAGAATACCTAATAAGTGGCCGGTGAGTGTATATTAATAAGATTTATGTTCATTTGAATAGTTCATTAATCATTTACTTACATCCTGAATGATCTTAAAAAGTCACCTACTCTTTTTAAATAACTGTCTTAAATTATTGTGAATAATGCAATATTTAATTTAGTAATGAAAAATTCATCATTAACAAAGTATAAAACACAGTTATTTTAAATTTGCTTTAACAAGTTAAGCATACAGCATTTGAAGCTATTTATAAACTGCTCACTATTAATGTAATCCAACTGCATCTATTAATGTACTGTAGAGTTAATGCTTAACGAATAATGAATTAACTATTTGCTACTGCTTGATAATTTATTTGAAGTGTGTAGATATTATCTAAAATAGAAAGTGTTACCTAAAATTTCGTCTTTCCACGTTTTCTTCTCATTATTCACATTTTCTTTGCTCTTTGTCAGTTATATTTGGAGTGAAACTGACACACTTTCTCTGAATAAGAATGAACTTTTCTCCTTGAGCTTTCTCAGTGCCATCGTTACATAAATTGGCTGATTTATGAGAAGAACAAGATTTCACTTCAAATCAGGGGAATTTAAAGTCCTTGTGGGGAAAAATCAGTGATGCAACATTTAGTTTAAGGCTGTGTTTATATCCATTTCAACCTGTAAACTCTTTCACAAGCTTTGAAGGCATCAGAGCTTAAGTGGAGAGCACAGGTACAGGCCTTCAGGAAGTTTTGTTCATCCACAGGCATCTTCCCATTTTTCCCCTCTTCTTATCACCAGGAAAGCAGTGAAGACTCGGGTTGCTTCTCTTGTTGTTGTTCTGACTGAAAGTTCCCACATTGAAGTAGCACAATGTGTCATTGTATCAGTGTTTTGATTTTCTGAATTGTTAGGGAAATAAAAAGCAATATGCAGAGTCAGTAGCTCACAGAGTGCAACCTTTGACTTCAAGCTCTATGCATTTTAAATAATAGCAAATCATGATTTGTTAAAAGAATTCCAACAGCTCTCTGCCCCTCAGCAGTTCTCAAATCCAGCAAAAAGCATTGTCAAAAAAACAAAAAATTCAGTCAAAATAGTCCATGTGTCTTCAGGGGTTTAAAACTTCACACAAAATACTTTTGTGCACACACATAAAACAAAAATAATGAGTTTAATGCACACTCATGATCGTTCACCCTATACTGACACTGAAAACAAGAAACTGTTGAACAAAGTCATTACTTTTGTTTCTTTAATCTTCATAATATTCTAATCGAACCACTGTTTTAAAGGGTCATGAAAGCCCCCTCTTTCAGTTCAAGTGTACCTCAGAATTTTTTCAAAAAATGCTTCATGATGGGAGCACTGCGAGCAGAGGGAGTAGTGGCCGTGGCAGGCAGAGCAGGGAAAAAAAAAGGGAGTAAACAACTGTTGTCAGTTGGCTCACAAAATGAGACACAAACTGTGAAGAGACCCAAGATTTTATAGTTTACAAAGTTAAAATGTAAAGAAATAAACAGTCATTTAATGCGCTGCTTTATTTTTTTTTTCTGTAATTTCATATAAAAAAAACTAAATTTGTTGTCTTTATAAGGATAATCATGTAAACAATTTAAATGAGGGGGGCTTCTCTCCTCCTCAACCCCTGGGTCTGAATGCAGACAAAGAGGATAGCAGTGCAGCAGGGTATCTTGCCGATCTATTTCAACCGTTAGCCCTTCTGGTAATCTGGAGGATTTTAAACATAGGTGAACAAAGCAGCACGGATAAAAGCGATGTGTCTGAATGGTAACAAACTCAACTGAAAAAACGTGACGTGTAATCGCTCCACTCGCAGATTCACGCTACGTCACCGATTTTGATGCAGCCCCAATTATTATTTTAAACTCGAAAGATGAAATTAGCTGACAAAAGCTCAAAATTATTCAGTTTTCCTCATAATCAAAGCTGGAGAGTGCTAACGTTGTCTTAACAGATGCTCAACACACACAAATATGTTTAAAAAGTTTTTTTTTTTTAAGTGCTCCAGGGTGTGATGAACCTAAGGATATTTTTTAGTATGTGTTGTTTTTTAAACTTAAACCTTGCTGTCTATGGAGGATGAGAGAGTTCTCAAATGTAATCTAAACAAAGGGGGTTGGAGTAAATTATCCATTTAATACCTGTGATTCCTCTAAAAAAGCAATAATAATCTGCACAGACAGAATAGTTTAGAAAGAATACTGCAGCATTCCAAATGTTTAGAGTTTACTTATTTTAACTTAAGGCCTTCAGTAGCTGCAAATGTAAACACACACACACACACACACAATTGTGAGATTTGTCCAGCTTGCAGCAATTCAGGTTTCTCTCAGTATCAGAAACTGGGATAAAGACAAACTCTCACTCTTTCTCTTTCTCTCTGCTTCTCACACACAGTCTGGGCCTGACATGAAGCTGACTCAACAGTGTCCCAACAGCTGATGTAATGCTGGCCTGCTGCAGAATGTGTTTGCATTGAAGGGGGCGATAGACCAAAGGACACACTGAAGGGAAAAAAAAAAGTCTTGACATAGGAAGTAAGCCTAACTCTCTCCATATGTGAGGTGTTTTGGTTGCCTGTTGCACCGCAGACAGATTTAACACTGTAAAGATTTTATGGGTTATACCTATCAATGAAAATAATCCTTCTGTTTAGTTGGATGGCTTATGATGATTTCACCGTTATGTAATTCTTCAGGGCCTTATGTATGTTGTTATGAGCCTGTGCTTATATTTACACACACTGCTAATCACATTTTGTTTTACTTAGATCTATGCTGCATCCTAATTCACATACTATCCATCCTAAATAGTATTTGAAAATAGAATTAGTGTGTCCCAAATTGTAGTATGTTGAAGAGTATGCCAAAGGTTCCTGGATGGTTTATAATTTTCATTAGAAATTCAGTGTTGAACTATACATTCTCAAACCGCAAAAATTTCCCACAATACACTACTAATAAAACTAAAAATTTGATTAGGACTACAAACTCAGAGGAAAAGCGTGAACAAACTACAAATATGGCACATGCACGAGTCCAACTGTCAAGTACACTATAAAAAATAAATCCTTAAAATTTACGGTAAAAAAACAGCAGCTGTGGTTGCCAGTATTTTACTGTTAAAAAATACAGTACAAAACGTAAAAGTAATTTCTCATATTTACAGTAAATTACCATGTTTCATTAATTTATGTATGTAATATGTCTGTATTTTAAATTACCAACATCTACACATTTTGTTACACTACTTTTGTTACACATAAACCTGGTAACACAGCCATACCCAAGTGATGATGAGAAAGTTACGTAATGAACCAATGCTCATCACAAACTTTTCCCACAAGCAGAAAAGTGTATAGTGTTAGTATTAGTGTTTAGAAGGTGCTCAGTGTCATTCACTCCGCTACTAAACACAAGTATGGTAACGTATAAAATTAAAGTCATCAAATAAACATAGTTTATCAACATTAGATGTAACATAAATCTCTAATGTACATAACTGATGGGGAAACAGCTAAAAAGATCTATATTAATGTCAACAATTTTTGTATTTTTGGAACAAATTTCGTTTTGTACAATTGTATTGTATTGTATTGTATTGTATGCCGATATATTGTGCATCCCTAATATTAAGGAAACATACTGTTAACCAGGTTACAGATTTTTACTGTAGCATTTTTACAGTTTTTTACCGTTAAAGTCACTGCCATTATTTACAGTGTAGAGAGCCTTTGGTAAAGTTCGAATAACTTTGAATTAATATCTAACCAACTGGACAATATTTCAATCAGGTTTTCTGTGTAAGGTGTTTGGAATGTATATTATATAAAGACCTGATGAGATTTCTCTGCACTAAAGACTCACAAATGGCATATTGACCTGCTGCTGCTGCTTTAATATGGTATAGGTAATTAACCTTAAAGAAATGAAGATGATGTGTCGAGATGATTGATGGGTGACTTAACTAAGTCCGTTTATGATGTAGCATGTCCCAAAACTAACATACTCTTGTTACATACTCAAAAGTATTTACTTTTTCTTCATGAAAAACATAGTATATACTATTTAGAACATAGTATAAGTATGCGAATTGGCACACAGATCATTTTTGGGCTCTGAGCATGGCTGTCAGAGTCACAGTTGGCAAAAGGTCATAAGTCAGACAGGATCAAAGAGCTGTTTAGGAGGCAATGAGTGGAAAAAAATAGAACCTAAAAAGGTGGCAAATTGATCTCTTAGGTTTAGACATCATAAACACACAACATGCATCAAAAAGGGAAAATGTCTTTGCAAATATTGATTTGTCCTATGTAGCATTTTATAATATGGTCTTATTTGTTAACTTTATCTAAAGCATTTGCCTACTGACAATAAGAAATATCAATTTTTACATTTGTTAGCCTTAGTAAGACTAATCATTCATTGCACCTTTGCATTTCAGTAATGCATTCGTACAAGATGAAATTACAATTAACTTTGAAGATTAACTGAAGATTAAAAAGTAAAATTAAAGTAGAAACCATAAAAGTTAAACCATTTTCTTAAGATATAATGAATGTTTACTGGAAATGTACATAAAACATGAATCACCTTTTTGTTAATTTAACCAATTGCCATTTTATTCTGTAAATTACTTCATTTTATTTAGAATATTTTTAATTGAATTTATTTTGAATTAGAAATGTCACCTATAGAGTGGAGGAACTATGACATCAATTTGTATGCAAAAACCCAGAAGCGAGTTCATTATTTTAGCAGTCCCGGTTCCCTCATCCCAAAGTCAGTGGGTTTTTTGAATGAGATTTTGGTTCAATCGTTTAAATAAGGTTTGTGGCAAACACAAACACAAGATACATTCACGATTTATTCTATGAGATTGATCACATTAGTTACATCACACTCTTGATATTTTAAATCAGTTATGCTTCTTTAAAAACACTGTTGCTATCAAGTTGCTAAATGGTGACTACAGGCGATGTCGGAGGCATTATACGTCATCGAGCTAAACTGGTCTGGAACACAGCCAGCTTTAAATATACAGCTTGCGTCAGGCATTTGGATTCATCTGCTGTTTGTTTTTTGTTATTTTGGTATTTAAGTATTTTACAGTTTGTAGTATTTTTCTAATTGGGCATTCATGTTGTTTGTAAATAAAAGAGACTTAAAGATTCATTTGTTTTAATAAAGCAATTTCATTAAGAAACTGTTTTACATAGTACAGCCTGTCACTTTTCTGCTCTCAGTAAATCAAATATGTAAATACATTTGTAAAAATCTATAAACATTTACTACATTTTAATGTGATTCTTTTACACTAACATACAGTTGATGTCAGTAGAATTATCGGTGAATTATTAGCACCCTTTTGAATTTTTTTTTATTATGATATTTCACAAATTTCCCAAAAAATGTTTAACAGAGCAAGGAAATTTTCACAGTATATCTGATCATATTTTTTTCTTCTGGCGAAAGTCTTATTTGTTTTATTTCGGCTACAATAAAAGCTAATAAAAAATATTAAACCATTTTAAGATCAAAGTTTTTAGCCCCTTTAAGCTATATTTATTTTAGGTAGCATTTAAAACAAGCTTAAAACGGTGTCGTTAGCAGGGTGGTGCTGACATCACAGGCGAGCGCCCTGTAGTCAGTGTAGTCCGTTTATAACCTATTGTTGACTTTTTAGTTCTTCCGTTTGCATTTAAGATCCAAAAGTGGTCAAAGTTATGTTATCGTGTGAGGATTATCTGGTCGGACAAAATGTGTAAGTGTGATGAACAGTGTTTGAACACAGAGCTTATTATTTGCAAACTTTGAAAAGTCTATGGGAAATCTATTCTAGTCTATGGGATTTTATTGAGGGAACCAGTTTTATGCTAGCAGCCGATTGGCCGACAAGGTGACGTCATAGTTCCTCCACTCTATTTATATAATAAACCAAATATTAAGTTTACTCAAGCACAAAACTATCAATTCAAAGAAACTGACAATTGCAAAGTGCTACTAACATATATTGATAATTAGGTTAGGTTTTAATAAATGTCATATGACTTAGAAATTTAAACTAGTGAATGTGTTTCAATTTCCATATATATTCCTGCAAACAGTTTTAACAATTAAATTCCAATCAACAGTGCAGCTACTAGGCTAATAAAGTCATTTTTCTTTCCTGTTGTTAACCTAACACTGGGCTTTTGAATTTTAAAACAGCTCTCAAGTTCTACTTTAAAGAGTCCGAGGCGCCACACAGATCTGAACAGATCTTCCAATGAAACTCAAAACAGTCTGACGAGTAGTTAAACCTACAGGAAACAGTAGCTCTTCAGCATTTATGTGGCTCATTATTGAGCTCTGTTCACCTTAGGACATTTCACACGTCATACACAACAACTAACCCTCGCTAACATGGACACATGTCTGCACACATATCTGAACTTGAGTTTAGGAGTTGTACTGAGATTAAATGTAATAATCCTAATGTAGTGACAAATTAAACACAACCATCTTTAATATATCAATGTGTTGAATAGATGTAATTTTGAGGAGACCTAAAGGGAGAATCCAAATTCAATTCATATATTTGAGCTGAGCTAACAAACATGATGCATTATTTGAGTTGGAATTAGGAAAGCATACTGTAGGTTTTTTCTCTTTATACTCTATTAATAGGTAGCATTGTGGAATAAGGCCCCCTAATTAACATTAAATGTATTAACTAATGTTAGCCAACAATGCACAATAAATTTATTCAGTATTTATTAACTGAGATTACTGATAGTAGTTAATGAATTCAGTGATTTATAACTGTTAATTAATGTTAGCTTTGGTTCATTGAGTTACGTTTATAAATAAATTATTTAAATCTAAAGATGCATTTATTCATCTTAAAATTAGCTAAGATTGTAGCTATATTATATTATATATATTATATGTTATATTGTTAATGGAATTTGTACATATTAATATAATGCATTAACAGGGCTGAGCGCTAAAATCGGTATCGTTATTTATTGACCGTATACAGTACCATTGTCAATATCGATAAAAAAATTAAGTTCGGTATGAAGTTTCGGTATCAAGCGCCATAGTTCTATTAAAAGTTTTGAGCGCGCGCCTTGGAAGAAATGCCAATAAACTTAGGGTGTAAGTTTGTCATTTCCAGTGGAGACGCACAACTTGTGGTGCAAATAGGAAGCGATGTTCACATGATCTGCAAGCAGCACGTATGTGACATGTGCATTTTCCAGGTGCACCTAATTGAAAAACATCTGAACTATTAAGAATGCCATGAGCACACCGTGTTTCATGTACAGTACTCTAAGTAGAACTCATCTCAGACAAACACAGCGCATCCAAACACTGCAGTGCTTTTTCATTTTTTCGGAGATGCAGCAATGGTTTGTTTGTTTGTTTGGCATCCTTTGAGAAAATTATTGATGGTCGCCTAGTTTCAAAAAGACGGCAGGAGACCACGAG